CTTCAATCTTGCTAGATGACATCTTCTACCCACAGAAAGTTTCCTTGGAGATTTAAGAGACTTCCATTACAGTGTTGATAACTGCACTGTTATTAGCATGTTGAACACTTAGGGAATTTAAAACAGTAATAAGGAGATACGACAAACAACCCAAATTGTGTAAACAAAAAGAAAATGTAAAAAAACCCCACTATCTTAAAAACACTATTAAAACACTTCTTCTGAAAGGGTCTACCAGTATTTCCATAGTCCCTTAGAAAAGTAAGAGTTTGATATCTATCTATCTATCTATCTATCTATCTATCTATCTATCTATCTATCTATCTATCTATCTATCTATCTATCTATCTTATCTATCTGTCTGTCTGTCTAAGCAAAACTATTTGGATGCCACACTGATCTAATAAGCAAGCAATCAACTTCCAGATTTTAGTCAGGAGAATATATATAAACCAGTATTGAATATTGTATTTTTTAGAAGGCATATACTTTGCTTGAGGGAGTTCTGGTGCTAGTTTATATAGATACTTTTGCATGACGGAAGTGCAAAGAAACAATGTGTCAATGGCACCTTCTATATCTCTAGATCATCTCAATGGCCACTAGCTACAGGTAATAGGATGTTCACTTAGCAACAAAAGGAAAAGATTTTTATATCATGCCTGGCTGCATTTTCCTTGGTACTGAACAGTAGAACTCAAACCCTGGAACACTCATTAATTTCCTTTTGACTTCAAACATTTTTTCCTAGTTCTTGTTTCCTGTCATTTTTATTGGTTATTTCTCCCCTTTCTTATCTACTCGCCTAACCTGTTGGTAGTATATATGCCACTACTAACAGCCAATTCTTTTTTTTTTTAAAATACTGAATAAAACTCTCCTTTGTAATTCACAGCTTGAGTAATCAGTGAGACTAAAGGTAGCGTAGATGGGTTTGATTGTCTAAAGCTATTCAAACAGGTAATGGCATAGAAATCTGTTTGTTATTAATATTGGATCTGTTTAGGTGGAAAAGGTTCTGTCTGACCTCAAAGAACAGAACTAAGAAAAATGGACGAAAGCAGGAAAAAAAGGCAAAGTTAAATTTGATGTTAGGAAATACTTCCTAATGATTACAACTGTCCAAAAGTGGAGTGGGCTGTCTCAAAACATGACAGCTTCCTCCTCATTGGAGCTATTAAACAGGAGTTCTATGGCCATGTGGCTGAATATTTTATAGAGGATATGAGCTGAACTACATGGCCATTGAGGGTCCCTGAAATTTTGAGATTCTGTAAAGTCCAATATAACTAATTAGCAGAGGGAAAGAGAAAGATGAAAATTCTAGTTAGTATTTGGAAAGAGACATGAGAATTTTTCATGTTTAGTGCTGCTATTCAATGAATTAACAAGAAAAGCATTTATAAAGAGTTTACTATATGCCAGCAATTGTGGTATACTGGAGAGTGTTTATCACAGAAAAGACTGTGTGAGAAGTCAAAGGGGTGGTGAGGTAATGCATAGGGCAGTTAACTGACATGCTCATTCCAGGAATAAAGGTAATATGATAGCACTAATGTAATTACTGAGTCCAGAGCAAGAAATGGAAAACTGGTAGAGAGGTGAGGGTGACTGGTAAGGGTAGATGATAAGATGATTACAGTGGACTTCTGTAAGGAATGTCAAGCACAATTTGGTCTGGCAAACTGGGACTGCCTAAATATAGCAGGTTAGTTGAATTAAGAGGATAAATCCTAGAACATTAAAATATTTGATATCAACACTTGGAAAGGGCAGGTTAGCAGGAATTACAATTGATGCATATTTCAATCAAATGTATGGGGATACACAACTGATAAATGCTCCTCTGACTAGAAATGCCATGTAGCAGAAACACTCTGATTCAAGTGAAATATTTTATTTCTATTGATGTCATTTGTTTTTACATTTTTTTTTGTTTTTTGTGTTTTTACATTTTGAAAGAAAGACTGATAAACTATATTTAACTTTTCTATTGACCTCGCTGTTTTATATCATTTGGAAGTAAGTTTACCCAGCTTTAGCTCCTTCTCAGAAAGCTCTGCACTATTCCTTGAAGAGTTTGCTTATTGGTATCAGTTATATTATGTTCTTTCATACCTTCAAGGTATAAGTTATTTGAAATTTTCCCTACAGTATGTACCCATTTCCACCAACTTACCTTATCATCCTTGTTTGTGTTCCCTAACGAGTGTTCTAATCACTTTAGGCAATTTAATAAGGCAAGACATTTCAAAAAGAACTAATTCTAAAAACAGTGAGATCACTAATACGCTTAGGTAGTGAATCCAATGGAGTAATAAATAATATCACCAATGAATATGAACTTTATAATCATGATTATTATTTTTGTTACAGAAAAGGATTTCCTAAGGAACCTCCAGGGCATAAGATCAAAGGGAGATGCTGCCAAGGCTGTATTAGATTTTGGCCTGGAAATAAAAATTAGACAGTGTCCTGGCAGCTATTTAACATAGCTGTTTTTCTAGAAAAGGAGAAAGATAGCTCTTTGCATTGATTTTTAGAAAAATCCCTGCTCTCTTCTCCCCAATACTGGCAGACGCTTGAGAATAATTTTTTAAAATGTCATATGGGCTAACCTATTGCTTCCAGTAATTCAAATGAGTTATCCTAAGTCAGTGGCTTTAGGACATTCATTTATAGATGAAAATAAGAATTTAGTTGGATGTCTTTTTTAAATTTGGGGGCTTTTAAAAAAAAAGACTTCATGTATGAATAATTGCCACATACAAAGAATTTGCCCAAAGCCCAAACCAGACTTATTCCATTTAGAAAATGGCATGGTACAGGGTCTATTTTCTGCTTTCAGTTTTGTGTGAGTCATAATATATTATGTTGCCAGGACCCTAAATTTGATAATCTATTAAACAATCATAGCTGGAAAAAATTAATTATATGCCCTGGAAGTTCTCAATAAAAACACACAACAGGAAAAACACCATCACCCAAACACAAGGATGTCAGAAACACAATACATTCACCATGTGAAAAAAAAGGGAAATTCATGAATCACACAGAAGCAAGTGATTGTGTAAAAAACAACTTTTCTACAATTAAGGAAAACTGTTTCTCACCGTTCTGAACAAAATGGCTGAACTAAGAGCATCTGATTGGCTATGCCCATATACCCTCCTCCTCATCCTATTGGAAGAGAGATGACAAGGGGAATAAGGCCCCAGAGCAGCATGGGAATGAAAAAGAGTTGGTTAGTATTTAAAACATAGACATAAGGATAAAGTAGAAAAGACTGGATTCTAATTTCCTTATTTTTGTCCTTTCCACCACCCCACTCAGTTTTCTGACTCACTGAGACTGGTTTTCTTATAGATAAAGTTATAAATTTCAGGCGATTTTGAATCTAAAAAGACTCCCTCAGAAAGTTATATTCTCAAAATGCAGTTAAAAATAAGGTAAGATTGTCTGTTCATCAATTTTTTCTAAATGTTCACTCTTTGCTATTTCGTTCAAGAAATGCACTTCTTTCTAGTATGTATATGTTAGGATTTATACATTCCACTCTGTTACCTTTAAGAGAGGAAGTTTCTATCATAAAGCTGTTCTAGGCAAAACTGTGAATTAGGCTGCTTGCTCCCAATCTGTTTCATGTACCCTTTCCTTCACCTATATGGTACCTATCTCTCCAACTCATGTGCCAGTGTTTGTTTGCTTTGTTAACCCATATCCCCATTAAAAACTGCCTTAATTTAAATTTAATCCGATATTCTAATCCCAAGGGTTACCTGCAATTCAAGGTTTAACTTTAATAACAGAATAAAAAGTATACTTTCTTATTAAAGGAACAGTATAATGAAGAGTTAAAATAACAGGAGTTAAAGACAGGCTTCCTTTTTGCTTATTTATACTGTAACGTCCCTCTCTCTTTCTCTGTGTGAGACCAACTTCTACTGGCACAGTACATGATATACTACTATAATTAGACAATCTCGTTGAAATTTAAGATTTAGAAGCTACTGCTTTGATCTATAAAACTTCTGCCTCTTCTCCTAAAAGACAGTGGAGGGGCTGTCTTGGTAGACATGGCTAACAGAGGAATTTTCCTTCACTTTTTTAGTCACATGGATATAATTAATCATTTTTTCCTTAGCAAAATATTTCAATATTGGGTATGATGGAGATGTTGAAATTAGATTTTAGGGAATGGGATATAGGTAATTCTTTTACTTCTCTTCCCCATTCATCACTTACAAGATCCTGGAAAAATCCCTCACACCCTCCCTTTTCCCCAGAAAGAATCAGATATGGTTGTCTCCACTATAGAGAGAAGCTGAAGGTAGGGAATTGCCTTGAGAATGAATGACTCATGCTGGAAGACTCTTCTAAATGAATGGAAGAGACTCCACATTTGAGTTCCTAATCCTAGGAGGCACTGAAAAGAGATTTGGAAATCTGCAATTAAATTAAAGATAGCTCATATTTTAATTTATGTTCTGTAGGTAACTGATTTTCCCAGCCCTCTTATTTCCATTTGTCACCTATGTGGCCTGGGATACTATGCGATATATATATTTCCACCATGCCAAAGAGATAATTTGTTGGGTTTTTTTTAAACTTCCTTTTATGCCCTCCACTGACCTTACAAGGAAGTAGTTTCAGTAGTTTTACTCATAGGACACAGTTTCTTTCATGGGAAAAAGTAGGACAACTGTAGACCCATGGTATGTTTCTGAAGGAGGATAAAGAAGGAACTTCTCAAGTATTAAAAATTCCTAGAAGAGTTTGTTACTATTATCAAAACTTTTGAGTAGCCAATTTTTTTTTAAGGTTCAAAATCACCATCTTACCACACAGAGAGTTTGTGTATGAAAATAACTAGGGAATGGTTTTCAGGAAGTTAATGATTCATTTTTCTAACATCATTTCAGAATGAAGATTCTACACGCAGACGTAAATTACATCCCACACATTTCAGACATCTGAAAGAATGACAAGAGAAGGAATACCTGGTCTGGGGAGGGTTTGTGGTTGGTTTGGCTGGAATGAGAAGATTTGAAGTGGTCATCCTCATAGTTGTCAGCCATCAACTTCATGCGATTTTGAGTCTAAAAAAACATACAACATCGTTCAGATAAAATTCCTATGGCATGATAAAGTGAAATTCAGAAGCTTTTAAAGAATCTCATTAGAGGCTGACAATAAGGAATAAATTCAGCAAAGGGTTTTGTGACTATACATCATATACATAAGACAAACAAATAACAGACACACCTAAATTGGGTAAGGAATTTGATAAGAAATTATTTTCATTTTTTTCTACACTTTAATGCCTGAAAAATTTCCCATCTACTTCCCATGTCTTACAAGAAGGGTAATTAGAATAGTGAGTGACCCCATATTAACTTAAATTAAAGCAGCAAAAAAATACTTTTGTGAGATGAGAAAATTTTACAATTTATAATTATTCAATATTGTAAGGAATGAAGGTCATTTAGGACAATTCAAATCGAGCAGATGCACCAAAACTGATTATACTAGATAGTAACATTAAGATGCTACAGGGAAAACATTTTAAAATTTACAGATCTGCACATATTTTTGTACCACCTTTTCCTTATTCTAGTAAGAATCCTTATTCTATCTTAGAGACTAAACATGTTTTTCCTAACTGCATATTAAATTGTTATAGATTTTGAGATACTGGACATGCATCCATCTTCAAGGCTGTTCTCTGGGGTGACATTCTGTGATATCTAGGACATTATAGATAAATTTTCTTTTATGTGTGCTGCTACATGATACATGAAAGTATATGGACTTGCCCAGAAAGTTTGTAAAGAGGAAGAAAACATCTGCATTTCATTCATTTGGCTAAGAAAGCTGTTCACATCAATCTAATAAAATGTGCCAACGACAATATGCTTTTCTCTGTCATTTTTTTTAAGAATGCAAAGGAGCTTACCTTTAATGCTTGGTATTTAAAGAAACTTCAAATATTCATGAAGGAAATTGGAATCCATTTTTAGGAAGAATATAAAGTATTTCTTATACACACACACACGCAAATCTTAATGGAAATGCTGATCAGAACAGAGGGATCTAGACAAAAGTAAGTTATTGAATTCAAGTAAGAAGATGGAGAGGTTCTTAAAAGATGAGGTAGTGTGGTAAAGTAGAAAGACAGCAGCCATAGGAGTCAGCACTGATTCTGTGTTCAAATTCCAGATCAGCCACTTTGTGCGTTGCCTTGGGCAAGTCATTTAACCTCTACCAGTTTCAGTATCAGCATCTACAAAATGAGCCAGTTGTACTAGATGGTCTCTAAGAAAGGTCCTTTCCAGCTCTAAATCTGTGATCTTACATTCTCCCCTTTCCATTTCTAAAATGCCACTCTCAAAGATAAGCTTGAGAATATTTGAAATGTACTTTTACTACCATGAGAAATTTCATTGCCCTGGATATTTTGTCACTTGAAACATTAATTTATTCAGACTGATGAGTTCCTCAGTATTTTTCAATTCCACAAAAGGAAAAAGATAACCTCAAAAGTGGTGACCAGGAAAAAGAAAGTCAAATATAGAGGAAAGGAAATCTGAACAACACAAAACTATTCCATACCCATGGGAAAACATATGAGGGAATGGAATAATGTGTTCCAAAGAACAAGCGAACTCAAAAAGCAGCTCAAGATGACCTACCCTGCAAATCTGAGCCTAATCACTAATGAAAAAAAGATGCATATTTAATATAAAAAGAGGCATTCAAAACATTCCTAGAAAGAAACCAGACCTGAAGAAATTATTTGCTTCTCAAACACTCCAGACAACAGAAATACAAGAAGGGTAAACAAATACAGCAACCAAGGATGACAACAACACTAAATGATAACAAAGAGACCATTAAGAGATATTTTTTTCTAAATATACAAGAGGAGACAAGGGTGAAAGTAGAAGGCAAATTTAGAAATGGTGGAAAAACAGGATTGAAACATTATGGACTAAACCTCATGACACTGCTTATAGGTAAATCAATGTTCCTTGGAGGATTAGATTGTAAAATGGAAGGGCACCTAAAAGGGGGCAGGGGATTTAGAAAATAGAGGGCAACATGTGATATACTCTAATAAAGTCAAAGGTTAAGGAAGGGAAGGGAAAAAAACTCTGTAATCTCTCAGGAAGAAGAGAACCTAAAGGAAAATGGGTGAGGAGACAAAGATGGAGATAGAAAAAGGGAGAAATCAGGTTTCAGTGGTGGGAGGGGGCACCACTGATGAATGCACACATGGGATAAGAGAGGTAATACAGAGAGGGATATTGGGGCCTTACAATGAGTATGATTTGCAGGGATTTGATGCTGCAATAATACTGTCTCAAAAGAAGAGAAATCAACTCAGGGTGGGAGGGAAGAGGGCGGAAATGATACCCAGAAGAGTGGGAGGGCATGGTCACAGGGAAGAGATTTTGAGGCAAATAGGAAAAAAAAATTAACAAGCAGAGCACAAAGGTCAATAATGATTTGCACAATAAGAGACATAGGAAGAATACTATCACAGGGCAATATCCTCTCTATCATCTACAAAAATTGTTATTTCCAAGAGTGAAATACACCAGACATAAAGGGGGCTGAAGAAGGATGTACAACATAATAATAGAAACTGTTTAGAAGGAATAGATAGGTAGCTTAAAAGCTTTAATTTCATGAGAAAGGCAGAGAATAAAAGACTAAAGTACAAAGACCATGAGTCAAAGAATAAAAGTCTAGCAGAGATGGAAAGGAAAGATAAATAATTAAGAGAATGAGGGAAAGAATTTGTTTTTAGAAAAAGGCACAGAAAATGAATTAAGAAACTAATAAAAAAAACAAAGTGAAGAGGAGAGAGGGGATTTTACTTAACTACTTAACTAAGAGGGGGAAAAAAGAGAGGAAGAATTAAATAACTCGATAAAAGCAATAAAGAGAAATGAACAAAATGAACTAAGCTCCGAAACCAGGGCAAGTTGTAACAGATGGGCGGAGTTGTCTTGAGGGTAAAGGGAAAGCAGCCAGTGGGAATAAGGCTAATCTAAAATAGATTAAACTAAAACAACTGAAGATTTTGTATTTATAGTGAAAGAAGGGAAAATCCTAATTTGGAGGAAAAAAACCCACAAGATAATATTATCAAAAAATGGAGAAGAATATTAACCCAACTCTCAACTTTAAATGTGAAGGATTAAATGATACAATAAAATGAAAGAGAGTGACAGGGTAAGAAAACAAAACTCCATAATCTCTTGCCACAAGAAATATATTAAACAAATAAGATACACACAAAGTAAAAATGAGCAACTAAAAAAATTTATTATGCATTAGATGAATCAAAAAAGCAGGAGTTGAAATCATGCCATCAGATAAAGCAAAAACACTCAAAATACAAAAGAAAGATAAACATAAACAAAAAATATCAATATTAAACTTAAATGCTCCTTCTAGGGCTATATCCCAAAGAGATCATACAAACTGGAAAAGGACCCACATGTACAAAAATATTCATAGCAGCTGTTTTTGTGGTGGCAAAGAATTGGAAATCGAGAGGATGCCCATCAATTGGGGAATGGCTGAGCAAGTTGTGGTATATGAATGTAATGGAATACTATTGTGCTACAAGAAATGATGAACTGGCTGACTTCAGAAAAACCTGGGAAGACTTGTATGGTCTGATGCTGAGTGAAGTGAACAGAACCAAGAGAATGTTGTACACAATAACAGCCACGTTATGTGATGACTAATATTGTTAAACTGAACCCTTCTCAGCATTACAAGGATCTAAGACATCTCCAGAGGCCTTGTGATGGAAAATGCTATCCAAATCCAAAGAAAGAACTATGGAAGTTGAATTGCTATTTTTTTTCTCTTCTGTTGACTTTTGTTTCCTCTTTCTGATAGTTCCTCATATTGGTTTTAATTTTTACTTACATCACTAATGTGAAAATATATTTAATAGGAATGTAAATGTATAGCCTGTATCAGGAGGGTGGTGGGGAAGAAGAGGGAGAAAAATTTTAAGCTCAAAAGCATATGGAAGTGATTGTTGATAAATCAAAATAAATTAATAAAATAAATTTAAAAAAAAACTTAAATGCTCTAAATGCCTTAGCACTTAAACCCACAAAGGAAACATTAACTGAACTATAAGAATACATACATGGTAATATAATAATGGTAGGACATTTAAAATTCCCCCTTTGGTTCTGGGTAAGTTTAACACAAAGATGAATAAAAGGTCAAAAACAGAACTGAACAAAACATTGTAGGAAAACCACTTTGGCAACTAAGTGGAAGTATGCTGGAGCACTGCTTCTTGAACTGTGGACTGCAACCCCATATAGGGTTGTGTAACTGAATGTGGGGATCGTGAAAAATGTGGCAACAGTAAAAGGTTTCTGAACGTGCAATGACCAAAAATCAATTCAAAATCAAACACATAATGAATCTGAGGTGTTTCTGGCAGCACTTGCCTGTGTTGCATCATGCAACTTCACTGCAGCCTGGGTTCTAAACACACAACACGCACACTAACGCCGTAACGCCACACAAACACCTCGGCTCAGATTCAAGACTATTGTATGTTATGAATTGCAGTGTTTTTACTGTACATACAAAATTGTTAAACAAATTTTGTCTTGGGATTAGGACAGAATTTCCAATAATTTCTGAAATGGCCCTAAATGTATTTCTGCCATTTTGCACTATGTATTTATGTGAAGTAGCATTCTCAGCACTGATGATTATAAAATCAAAATACTGATCAACTCTGAAAAGCGTTGAAGATACTCTATGTCCCACAGTATATTCTGCCATGATTTAATTCTTCATATAAAAATAAACAAACACATCCATCTCATTAGTATGCAAATTTGCTTTTGTCTTTAGTAAATGGTAAATAAATAACAAAGAATTGCTTTAAAATAAATTTCTTTATAATTTTATAATTTATTATGAGTACATGTATACTGATTCATATATACAGGTATACCTGTATACACTGATTTGTATACCCATTTTATATACCTATAAACCTGGGGTCATACTTGAGAGTAGGGAGAAACCTAAGCCAGGAAGGCCA